GTTCGCAGTTCAAATCCACCAGCTGATCTGCAAGATAAATATGGTCAATCTCCTCTTGTCAGATTTACTGCCTCTGAAAACCAGCTGGAGGGCCAGCTATGAGTTGGTTCCCACTCGATAGCACACACCAACCTCTGGGTTACTGCTTCAAAAAGATATCATGCTAATTATTTTGAGCAAGAGGTTTGTAAGCATGTATTTATTAAATTTTAAGAAACAGCTAGTAATATGTCCTTGATGTCTTGGAAATAGTTCTCAGAAAAACACTGGAAAGCAGATCAGCCAGGAACATTAATACCTCTTCTATCATCAGGAAGATGAGGGAATCAAGACTCCAGTGAGATTATTGACTCCAAGAACATGTTGCATCTCATCATGATAGGAACCTTCTGTTGTAAGTGCAGATTTGTGTTTCACTGTGCCTTCCACATCTGTACTCATTTTACACAGGCAGGCACGTCACTGCTTGTTCCTCAATTGGTACTACTGACTTGGAAGCTTGCATTCCAAGTACATATTTGATATCTCTTGTTGGAAAGGAAGAAGACTTGAATTTATTGATGAAGATCAAAGACTACAGTCTTCCGTATGGATTGTTCCTCAGCATAAAGAGTCTTCACAACTGGGATAGTAAGCATCATAATAAATGCATAACTATTGACATTTTCCAGGACTTAGTTTATTTGACTGAATACTGGACCATTGAAGATTATGATGTGGTAACTCTAGTGAGTAGATTATCCCTGTTCTGAAGGATTCGGTTGGATTTAGAGTCTTAAGTTGGTTTTCGTTGTTGTTCTAAAGACTTTTTAAAATTTTCTTTAGAAGTCTGCATTGTAAACAGAACCTAGCATATCTATTCCTTTATCTGCTGTCAAGGATCAATCCAAAATGCTAAAGAAGAAGGATATCAGTTTAAAGACTAAGGTGCACCTAACTCAAGCCATGATCTTTTCAATTGCTTTTTTTATACATGTGAAACTAGGAAAATTAATAGACACACCCCATAATGGAATCTATAACTATTGATCTAACAAAGTATACACCACAATAGACTGAAAGCTACAAAAATATTATCCTAGAAATAGAAGAAAAATGAAATGAGTGGAGAGATATCCTGTGTTCATGAAATAAAACACTATAATACTGTGAAGATGTCATTCTTACTCAACTTGATCTTACATTTAATGTAATCCAAATTAAAATGCAAGAGTTATTTTATAGATGTCAACAAAATTACTTTGAAGTTTTTATGGAGGAAGAAAAAGGGAGAAGGAAAGGAAATGTGCAACAATGAATGTTGTTGTTCTTGTCGTTGTGTGCCATCGAGGCGCTTTTGACTTATAGCGATCCTATGTACAACAGCCCTAAACC